ATATGTTGCCTAAATTTTCTGCATCTGGTATGGGGTATAGACACCTAAAGATGAAAGACCTTGAATCTTTGAAAGTTCTCAGACATTATTTATTTATCCAGAAAAGAATGTGCAACCTTCACATGCAAAATCTATTACGGTCATTTGCAGCTCTTTAGGAACACCTAACAAAGACAGTCAGAAAGAGGTGCATACTGGCAGTCAATACTCTCACTGTACAAGGCTTGTTAAATACAACTAAAGCAGCATGAAGAGGAATTTTTATGACCAGCTGACACTTCTCTCATTGATTTTAATTTATTTCTGTTTCTTCCAGCAATTAATCAATAAGGTAGGTACAACATAACTTTATTTATCAGGATTTGTTATTGCCCAGTAAAGAGGTAAATAGAACCTGGCTTCTCCTCAGCTGGGATGCCAAGATAATGCAGTCACTCTCCTCTTTAGGTCATGGAAGAGTCTTTAATGTTGAAGAATAGTGAATACATGATCTGGTATCAACGCTTTGTCTGGAGACAAAGAGAACCTGGGACTGTCTATTTATTCTCTTGCACTTCCTTAGTAAGCAGTGAAACCTCATTACTTTCTTGAAGACAGGGGTCAAGTAATATTTCCTTTTTCAGCACACAAAAAGGGATACAAAACAGGGCTATGAATATAAACTGTTGAGATGAAAAGTACTGGGTGTTGGAAACTATACAGTACAGGTAGCCAAAATGGATGAACCCCTGTCATCTCCAAACTGGGCATGTCTACATGTGCATTAATGCACCATAGTTCTTGCACATTAAGTTTAGTGCCTGTAATAACAGGTACTAACTAAATGCGCTGTGCATGCCTTCAATTGCACCGGGATAAAAGGGTTTATTCCAAGATAAATGCGACATCTGTTTGTAGCCCAAGTGTGCTGAATTCTTCTTGCAAAGAAAATACAAATGTCATAGGGCTCAGGGATACAGCCCCCTCTTTCCCCCTCCCCCCTCCAGGCTGAACAAGCATCTTGGGCGACTCCCAGCAACACAATGGCATCACAAAATATGCAGTTCTAAGGCCCTATGGTTTATAGCTGTATTCTGACCTGTTTCTAAACCAAAGTAAAACAAATATATGCAAATTGGGAAGACATTAGCAGAATGTCACACTTAGCAGCAGTTAGTTAATTAGCAAACTACAGGCTATTTACAGACAATAAACATAAGTAGTTTAAATAAATTAGATACTATGTCTGACTTCATCTTGTCTGCCCATATACTCTGACTCCAGGCATCTGTGGTAATGAAACAGAGGTAAGACCGGACTGTCAAGGTGGTTTCCCTCTTTATTTTCCCAGCTTGGTATATGAGGCCAAAAAAAAGCATATTTTGCCCCAACAGTTTCTGTTGACTAGCAAGTTCTCTGAGACATGTAACCTCCACCAATGGCATTTGTACAAGGAAAAAAAGTATTTCTACTTCATAGACCCAAAACTCACAAATGTTCCCAGCTAATACTTAAAGTCCAACAGAGTTCAGTGCACTCCTATGAAAGATTAACTCTGCACTATGCCTTGAGCTATATAACTTCACTTCATACCTTGAATAGCAGCTTCCCCACCTAAGTTAAAGGAGATAAAAAAGGAACTTTTAATGCAGAATGGGAATCTTGAGGAATTTAACAGCAATCCTATGATTGCAGTATTAAATCCTACGAATATTTCCTTGCAGCCCTACCACTGGTGCTGAAATGTTGATTTTCCTGGAGCCTATACTTTTTTTTTAATCTTCCCCCTCTCCCCTATCACATCCTTTTACATAGGAAAAACTGAGCAAACATTATTCACAAACACTTCAGTGGGCGTCAAAAGCAAGAAAAGATCATGCTAATCTCCTTCATTAAACTTGCCAAATCCCTCATTTTGACCAAATATAATCTATTTCTGCTAATTTTAGCCATTCTGAAGATAAAATTAGAAGAAATGGCCTTGCTTTCACTAATTAGTACAATAATATTTTCTGGAAGATAGTTAAGAAAATTTTTGTTACCAGGTTATTTTGCTTGTTGTGAGGATTACTAACTCTCTTAGTCATACAACATGAATGTCTCAGAGATGACTGGCATTATAACCTCTTACATTCATCTAAATATCCACTGGCTATCAACAAATTATATAGCCTTTTTACCTGCAATAAAAGCAGGACAGTTCTCTATAAAACAAACTTTACATGCTATAACAGATTATAATAAAAACAGAGGTTAACACTCTAAGATATATTACAAACAAAAAACAACTAAAAAAAAAAACAAACTACCTTTTTATGTTTCCTTCTCATTCCTCTTATGTTTAGCTCTATTAGTTATACTGTGGTTGCATTAAAAAATCTGAATAAAAAAAAAAGTGCACATAGTTAAACCAGTTGCTGTTGCATTCTTGGGTTGTCTTCTGTATACCAGGCCTTATTGAACCTAGCAGAACTCTATTGGAAATGATGACAAAACCATTTTGTCTGCATTTCAATTTGCTTTAACTAATTGTGGCATATAAGACATACATAAATGCTGACCACTTCTGAACAATCCAGAGAGCACAACTATTATGTGCCCATGTGTGCTGTAATTGAACCTCGCTACCTCTTTACTAGTGCCAGTATTCACAGATTCTCAGAGCCATTCTTTCTGAAGACAAGCTCATTACCTTCAGTGGTACCACTAAATACATTCCATATACTTAGACAGCCAAATACAATTTCTTCTTTGATTGATGTGCAATGTGCCCTATATCCTTAGGCATTTTGGAGTCGCTGAATAGCCAGGAGTTTTTAGCAAAACCAACAGAATAGTCAGGATCTGTTTCAACACTGCTGATTTAGTCAATAAAATGAGCACTGTAGGAATATTTGTTTCCACCAAGCCCTTTCAACAAACAAATAAGGAACTGTCTGAGCCACAGTATTGCCAATAAATTCAAAATAGAGAGAAAATATATCTGAACGTAAAGCACTGTCTAGGTTTGTTGCTTCACTTCCTCAGAAAAATTGAATGCTTTTAACATATCATATACTGTGAAAGCTTGAGCACTGAGTTTGATATATAGCATTATACACAGTCTACAAATCCAAGAGATAATGTCTTCAAAAGAAGGCTCAAAGTGGAATCTGACAACAGAATAACAGAAGTTTTGTTTCAGTGGAATAATCAAGTGATACAGATGCTCTGTGGTTACAAGTCCATATTCACCACTGTCAAAAGTCTTGTCAAGATATAATTATACCAGGAATACATTTGATATTTAAATTATTCTAAAGCAGCTAAAAACTCCAAATTCACTTGTACTTAGAAAAATCCCAAGAGCACCATTATTTTCACTAATGGAAAAATCTTCTTTAAGAAGAATGAATCAAAGGCCTTATGCAATAAATTAACTAAACCTTTAATTTGTGTAAAAGCACGTGATTCTCATCCTAACCAAAGAGCCTGCGACTTACAGTAATCTTCTTAAAGTCAAAATTACAAGGAAGTTGTATATGTGAATACACACTGAGAGGGACAGGGAACCATAAGGAATATACTAACAAACTTCACAGATTTTCAACCTAGATTTCTAGGTTGCTTCAGATCTAATATGTAAAACAAATCTCTAAAGACATGAAAATATATTATGTCAAAATAGGGGACCCCCTCTCTAGCCCCAAAGTCTTTTTCCAAAATGAAGCTCAATACTATAGAACTGGCTCCATATGCCTGTGAAGTATTAAAATCATGTGCACATTTCATTAGGCTAAGCTTTATGGAAGGTAGGTCCCAAACTTATTCAGCCCTAAGCAGTTCTTGTACTAACTGAAAATCTAAATAAATTAGAACAAACTTATACCACCACATTAAACACAAAGGACTTGTCATTTGCTTGAAAAGCACAGGATTATCTTGAATTCTGTACTATAAGCATTGAATACAAAGTATAAGTCAATCAATAGGCATAGACAGTTGTCATGTTTATAATCAGTAGAGTCCAAGAACACTGAACAGTCTTCGTTTTTAAAAAGTGGCATACATTTACTGAAGCCAACATAATATACATACAGTTTTCCTTCCAAGTTCACCTCAACAGTCATAGTTGGGAGGAAGGGGGGTGTCCATAATGTGTGTTTGAGAGAAAGTCTAATTTTAAATACCAGAGGTTACCCTGAATGTTTACTATTTTGATATATGGACTCTAATATTATACAGAGAATCATATTTTATATAACAATAAATCAACCAGGAATTGCTCTGGATTTAAAAACATTCAAAACAGTAATATCTGACTCTAAGAGAAAATACGTTCTTGAATAGTTTTGCAATCATCTTTCAGTTTCTAATATATGAGGTTAGGAGAGCTCTGCCTAAAAACAGAAAAGACATTAAGATATTTAACACCTCTGTTTAATTAAAAACATATATATATACATACAAACACACACACACACACACACACACACACACACACACCTATTGAAAGCTACACAGAAGTGTCCAGAAAAAAATAACTTCAGAAACTAGGATGGCAATATTTTAAACCAAAAGAAAATCAATAATATGTAAATAAATCTGTATTTCAGTAAAATGTGAAGAGCTTAACCTAAGGATGCCAGAGATGAGGTTTCGTTGCTGTTTTTATCCCCCGAGAAGATGGATAGGTGCAAGGAGATAAAACATCTCCATTCTTATTTTGTAACCTGTTAACACAGAGATGCTCATCACTTTAGGTGACTGGTACTATTTTTCAGTATTCCTCTAAAGTTTTAATATTCTGCACATAAGCAATATATACATTTTTTCTCATTCTACATCTGCATTTTAAGGAAAAATATCTATTTAAACATTTTCAAAAATTAATCAAAATCATATCAGAAAATCTTTGCTACTTTGTTTAAGGAAGTGCACAGCGTTCCTGTATTGTACAAAATTGTTTTAAGGCAGGATGTGATCTAGTAAGTCAGTAGAACATGTTACATTCTCTTAAGATAAACCAAAAACATTCTTACCTTATTGTATCCAAATGGCAAAGTTCCTCCAGTTTTCAGCTTACAGCTATCTAGCATAGTGGAATAGGCAGGAATAAAGCATCTTTTGCTTCACAAAGGCACATGCATATCTAAAACTAGCCTTGGGAACTCTCAACTGCTCAGCAATGCTGTATGCCTCTAGCTAGTAAGAGCAGCCTCTTTGCTTGCTTGCTTGCTGCTGTGAACTGCAGCTACTCAGAATGAAAGGCAAAACAGTGATCTGTGGATACTGTTGCTTTATAGATTCAAAAGGAAATGACTCAACCATGTCACCACCTCCAAACACTAGAACTGCACCATTCCCCCACTCTACATAGTGAAAACAGAGCATGCAGAAGATGGGTAGGTTTTTTGTGTTGATTGTTTAAAAATAAAAAGAAAGTGAAACAAGTATTAAAAATGTGTATATTAAAACAAGTGTTCAGTTTTATCACTGCTGCCTATACATAATTCATATGCATTATGAATTAATATGCATTAATTAATTTATAGTATGTATACAGTAATTATATTTATTGCTTATATTAATCTACATTCGTTATATATATAGCTATATCCATAATATACATACACACGTTCCTATATAATCAGAGCAAAGAATCTGCAAAGCAGTATTGTAATGATTATGAACTACATGTTATCAGCCTGCCAGTGTGAACAGATCTACTCTGATGTCAATAAATACACACACACACGTGCAAAGCAGTACTGTAATGATTATGAACTACATGTTATCAGCCTGCCAGTGTGAACAGATCCACTCTGATGTCAATAAATACACACACACACACACACACACACACACACACGTGTGTGTATTTATTGACATCAGAGTGGATCTGTTCACACTGGCAGGCTGATAACATATTGTGTGTATATATATATATATATATATATATATTAAAGAGCCTTTGAAAAATCTAACTCCTTCATAGAATCCACACTTGAAATACATTTCTCCTTAATATATTATGTACCGCATTGTCAGAGTAAAAGAGTGTCTCCACCTTTTACTCAGAAATACATTTTTTCAACTTTGTCAATAGTTCTAAAGAACGTGATTAATTATACAGCTTTTGGTGAATTCAACAATTTACTACACAAGAACTTCGAATGACTTCAAAGATTGAAAAAACAGTTAGATATTAAAGAGGAACTTCACGTTGGTCCTTATAAAGATGAGGTATAGGAAGTCAAAAGAGGGAATCTGAAGAATTCTGAAGGAAAGAAAGATAAAGCACAGGTGTATTTTTGGGAAACCATAGCACAAAATAAATAACGCTCACCAAAAGGAATGCCATCTAGTTCACATTTCAAATTTCTATTCCATATGTGACCATCCAAGCAAAAGTACATAAGATGGAGATGTCTTATTTTATAGGCTTTCCATCATTTGCATTGCCTCTTACTAATAAAATGGCTTGATTCTCCACTGAATTATACTGGCATAAATGAGGAATACCTTCAGTTAAGTCAATGAATTCAATGGAAAAATCAGCCTCAATAAATGCACTGACAAGCAGTAAAAGTGTATTAATTGATACTAATAACGTTTCTACTTATAAATGTAAAGCCCATCAAACATTAAAATCAGTCTTTAGTTATAATAAGCATAAAATTAACTCCAGCATGTTATTATTTCCTGTTCTCAGTGCTTCTGGGGTAAACATATCACTAAACTTTCTACAAATTATGGGTCATCTCCTGTTTTCCCTGCTCACTGGAATAGTCCCGACTGAAATCAATGAAACTCTATGCCAAAGTTAGCTGAGCAGGGTAAAGACCACATCCAATATTAAGCAGAAAGCAAAACATGCAGCCATTCCTCAGTATTTTGTAATGTTTGCTTCCACTCCTTAACACAATTCTATTTTCTAACTTTTTAAAGTACAATTGCCTACATGTACGTAGCACTCATAGCTTGGATAGTTGCATTTTTGCTTTGCATAGCTCTTTAGGTGATTGGCCCCAGATTTGTTCACCTGTGTGGAATACCAAAGATATTGGACCTTCTTGCTCTTGTGGGGTTCCCAATATATTTTAGTGTTTACCTACCTGCTTTGTGCCCTGCCAGGCTGCATAAGGCTATCCCTCATGGAAAGCAGAATACTGGTTTTCCAGCTGCTCAGTCCCTACAGTGGTCTGTCATCTACTTCTACTCCCTGGAAAGACATCTGGTAGCAGTCCCCTTGTCATCAAGTACAGAACTCTTCCCATTTGTTTTACCTTTGCCGCTAGTCTCTTGATTGTCTTTTCTTGAGACACCACCTTTCACTCCTTTTTGAGTGCCCAGGAATAGATTTCTTCTGCTGCAGTGTACCGATTTCTACACTCTGCACATAGCATGTCAAATGTGCTGCACTTGCAAAAATATGCCTTCAGTTTCCTGATCGCAGCTCATGCCAGTGTCCTCCAGAGAGTCCCTAACTATCTCACCATAAGATAGTTGAGTTCCAGATGTTGAGCTAATCACCTACTGCAGTGGCTTTCAACCTGTAGTCCACAGATCCCTGGGGATCTGCAGACTATGTCTAAGGGTTCTGCAAAAGATGACTATGATCAATCAAAAGCATGTGAATACCCATATTTACAATTCAAAGATGTCCGCAACTCCATTCAAAATTTCTAAAGGGGTCCGCAAATGAAAAAAGGTTGAAAACCACTGATCTACTTGGACCATATAGCTCCTGTCATTAAAAGTGAACACATTTGTTTCAATCTTTTTCATGGGTTTTTTGAGGCTACAGTTTCATTCTGCTGTCAATCACTATAGTCCTTACCCCCCACACACTGCTCCATGTATGCTCTTTATTAGACCACTATGCCTGAGATGCATCTAAGACTAATGGTGCACCTCAGCGTAAAGTCTGTACCAGTTACTTCACAGCAGTGTCTCTTAAATCTTCTGGAAGCTGTACTGGATTATTTTTACAGAAAACCCTGTATACCAAACACAGAGCTCATCCCCCTACTTCATACTAGGAGGTGACTTACACTTTGGTTAGAAACAGACATCTTTAGTAGAGTTGCACAGATGTCTTCAGTGAATAAGTGGCAGCACAGCTGATTATACTACAGGTATGTCTATGCACCTCTCCAAGTCTCCACTCCTTCCCCCCACCCCAGCTCAAGACACATCTGCAAGTGGGAGGAAATTTCTGTCTGCAGAAGCACCATCTGCGTTGGGGAGCAAGAGAAACTCTGCAGGGGATTTCATCATGGGTATATCTGCAAATAGGTTCCCCACAGCCCCGCCAACCACTTGCAGTTATGCATGTGGATGAATCCCTCTGCAAATGGCTTCACTACATCCACCTGCAAGCATAAGCTAGGGAGGAAGTCCCCCCGCCCCTTCACGCTTGCAGGCAAGCAGGGGAAAATCCCTCTGCTTGCCCCAACCTGCTACCTGGGGTGCATCCAAACACACCAAAGCCCAAACTTTTCCCACTTACCCAAATGTATCCTTGAAGAGATGTGTTCTGGTAAGCAGGGAAAGTGAGGCAGATACTCCCAAGGCTAAAGGGGGGTAATTCTGCCTGGGGAATGCCCAGGGCGTGCAGGACCAGCCCCCTCAACCCTGAGGCACCCCTGCTCCAGGGAGGCTGGAAAACTCGGTCAGCTTTACACTGCCTGAGATCTTCTGCCATAAACAAACAGACATGGGCCACAATAAAGTGGCTCAATTTATTCTGCTGCCATGGCCACAAATTCCAGTATTTGTGGTGCACCAGAAGGTCTGGACATCTGTTTGCTTTCATTTTGAGCTACCATTAAATGTATGATGGCAGCACAAAGGTGACCCTTTTCACCCTTTGTGGCCATCCCTGGAGTATGAATTGTTTTGTCTGTAGCATTGCATCCTGATCCGTGATTAGTCGGATTGCCTACAGGCTCCCATCGGAGATGGGCAGCTATTGTTGCATATTCACAAACGCTCTCCTGTTCAACAGAGCTGTGTGTGTAGAGGTCTGGAAGGTACAGCCTGTGCCACCAGTAGTGGGTTTTTCCATGTAGTACCCTTACCCTCAGATCACAAGGCCCAAATTTACATAACTGTAGTGCTTTTGAATGTTTTGCCTTGCTCTGAAATCAAACCCATGCCCAGTAGCTGGTGGTCCTTTCCTATACAGTGCTGTAGCTACAGTGCTATAAACTGTCTCCTGTTTCATTAGTTTTTTATCAAGAGCCTACATGGGTGAACTAGCTTCAGAATGATTTTATTTCATATCACTAATACTTGACTACATTCTTTGAGTTTAATATTATTAGGCCCGGTGTTATATTGGGCCTAAAGTATCAAACCAGCCACAATAAAATTGGCTACTGAATGGAACACTGGATATAGGACTGAGAGGAACCTCCTGGGTCTTTGAGTGCAGTTCCCTTCTGTTAAAGCCAACCTAACTTTATAGTATTGATTTAGCTCCACTTCAACAGCCTACAAAGAAGTTAGAGCAAAAGAAATCTATTCCTGGGCACTCAAAAAGGAGTGAAAGGTGGTGTCTCAAGAAAAGACAATCAAGAGACTAGCGGCAAAGGTAAAACAAATGGGAAGAGTTCTGTACTTGATGACAAGGGGACTGCTACCAGATGTCTTTCCAGGGAGTAGAGGTAGATGACAGACCACTGTAGGGACTGAGCAGCTGGAAAACCAACATTCTGCTTTCCATGAGGGTTAGCCTTATGCAGCCTGGCAGGGCACAAAGCAGGTAGGTAAACACTAAAATACATTGGGAAACCCACCACAACAAGAAGGTCAAGTAACTGTGGTATTCCACACAGGTGAACAGATCTGGGGCCAATCACCAAAGAGCTATGCAAAGCAATAAAAAAGGCAAAAAGTATAACAATTACTTAAGTACCTGTTTAAACTCCCCTAATGTTATTGGTTAAACAGTTAACCAGTAACATGCATTTATCAGGGATATGCCCCCACCAGTACTCACTCATTCTTCAAGTGGCAGCAGCAGCCCAGGCTCTCTGGCAGGTGGCAGAGACCTGCCTACAGCATGGGCTGGCCATAGCAGGGGGCCAGGAGGCTGCAAGTGTCTGCACTGGGGTCTGTGAAGCCCCCAGTCTGGCTCATTGCAGGCGGCAGATGCACACATGCCTTGGGGAAGACAGTAGGGAAGGGGCCAGGGCTGTGCTACCACAAAAAGGATCAGGCCCCTCATGGCTCCCCA